AAAAAAAAAAAGAGATGGAGGCAAGAATGCACTTATTACCACATTGGATGCAACATTTTGGAGATACACTGATCCAGGAATAAGACATTCAAATATCAGGGCCACAAAAAGATTCATGTGATCCCTCTGTATTTCCAAGGTTAGTTCAAAATGAGGAGAATTTCTTGTGGATTCTGTTCCCTCAGTGGGAGAAGCTCTGTCTCCTGCCAGCTCAGGGAGCTGGCAGGGTACCCATGTTCTCAAACAAGGATTAGGACTTGGGCCCTCAATGTTCTACTGAGCACAGTCCCTGTGATGTCTATCTGCTTCCTCTCTTGATGGGTCTGTTTTTGAGTATGAAATACTCTGTTTCATGAATATGCAAATGATATGAAGTACACTGGGTTAAGTATGAGGATGTCTGTGTCCTGAGAGCATCACCCAGCAACTTCACCTGCTCCCCTACAGAAGCCACTGAGAACACAGCCTCTCACAATAGACTGGAGCTGGAGAATCCTCTTCTTGGTGGCACTGGCTACAGGTAAGGGACTCTCAGTCACTGGGCCGAGGAGGGGAGAAAGGCCAGTCAAAGATGACATCATCCCCACCTGTTCTCTTTCCACAGGTGTGCACTCCCAGGTCCGGCTGGTACAGTCTGGGGCTGAAGTGAGGAAGCCAGGCACATCCAGGAAGGTCTCCTATAAGGCATCTGGATACACATTCACTGACTACTATCTGCACTGTGTGTGACAGGCCCCAGAACAAGGGCTTGAGTGGTTGGGATGAATTGACCCTGAAGATGATGCCACAATTTATGCACTGAAGTTCCATGGCAGAGTCACCGTGATGGCAGACATGTCCACTAGCACAGCCTACAGGGATCTGAGCAGTCTGAGGTCTGAGGACACGGTGGGAGTATCACTGTGGGAGACACACAGTATGAGAACCCATATATTGGGTGTGTCAGAAACCCTGGGGAGGAGGCAGCTGTGGTGATGGGCTAAGGAGATGTGAAGTACAAGGATTCCCCTGCCTTCATCATACCAAAGTGTCAGAAGTTTGGAACAAGAATCATGTTCTCATGGGGATCCCAGTCTTTCAGGGAAAGGTTTGAAGAATCCAAATATACAGAAATAAAGACACAGGTAAAATATTTACATAAAATAACACCTCTTATTTATAATTTTTTGCAGAGTGGATATTTGGTGCCTCATTGTCCTTGAAGAAGTGAATATCAGTTGAGGTATCATCTGGGAATATTGGTGTCACATCGCAGGTCTTTAGATCTCTCCAGAAGGAGCTCTGTGGCTTTCCCCTATTTGAAAAAACTGACAGTGTGCTTCAGGAAAAGAGGGCATATGACATTCAAGGATGGATTTCTATGTCCCAGTCTCTGTTTGAGCACCACACCCATGACATTCTGGTAGGACAGTCATGAACACATGGTCACAAGTCATGGGCTGACAGGTGTCCCAGGTTCAAGCTCAGTCTACATCAGCACATCATCCGTGCAGTCCCCCCTCCAGTGCTGAGTTCCTGCAGAGGATCTTCCTCACAGACCCCAGCTTGCGAGTGTCCCTGTCCCTGGGGTACACGTTTATTCTCCTACCATCTGGAGGTCTACAGGAAATCAAGTCCCCTAGGTGGCAGTTCCAGTGCTGGCAGGGCTACACCCCTCAAGAAACTCTGGGGTTGAGTGTGTTCCTCCTGGTTTCTAGAGCTGCACCTCTTGCATTTTCAGGCTCAAGACTCCTTACTCCACCTTCACAGCAGAAGAACATCGAGCATCAGTGGTCACATGACTCACTTCTTCTACTGAGGCCTAACCTCCTTCTGCTACCTCTTATAAGAGCACTTGGCATTACATTAAGACCCACTTGGATGCTCCAGAAAAGACTATTTTATTTTACTTAAGTAAGTTGACACAAAATGTTACATGTCTCTGGAGTACAACAGTGATTGGACAAGATATATCTAATGATATATGGATTTACATGTGTGGTAAGTCCTCAGATATTTTCAATAAATGATTCATACCATATCAAGGAAAGAAGGGCATTACAATTAGACAATGCCTCACATTTTCTGTCAATGGTTGTATTTTTAAGCATAACCAAATTACAAATAGCTTACAAGTAACGCAACTGAGGGCAGCCTGCTGATTATGCACAGAATAAACTGTGAGCCTAGATTTAGGAAAATAGAATAAAATGGAAAATACTCAAAGTCCATAGATGTTAGAGAGAATTCCGTGGTGACACAGGTAAGTGAGAGAGTTTGTGAGGGTCTACATTACTGGGACTCCTCGTCCAGGTACTCCTGGGCCAGAGAACCTAACCCAAGGAGAGTCAGGAGGCAGATACATTAGATTAGTAATTGTTCTTACACATTCCTGGAATGTCTGAGATACACACACAGGACATCTGCCAACAGACAGAAGGCCCCCCATTGGATTTCCCTCTTCTTGGGAAAGACCATCCCAAGGAGCTTCATGCTCAGGTGAGGAGGGGGCCTGACCATCCTCCACCTACAGAGACACAGTTTTAACCCAGGGACAGAGGATCAATTTCACACAGACACTCCTTGGACACCCCCTTACAAGAATGTAAGGACTTTGAATGGAAGGGCCTTTCTCGTGACTCCTCTGAGGTCTGGGGTTCAGTGCTCATTTCACGAAAAATCAAGACAGCAAGCATCCCAGAATTTATTTATGAATTCTGTAGGGAAACCATGATCTAATTGATGGGACAAAACATGGACATGAGAGGAAGTGTCAGTATGTCTCATCAGTAGTTGATATATTATTTTTCTTCTGGATCATAGTTTGGGCCATAGATGCCCATTTCTGCCCCACTTTAGGGCTCTGCCATCATGGTAGACATTCATTATTGAGCCTCACTTGCATCTGGCACTTGGTGGGGATCAGGAAAGAGTGAGAAGGCTACAGCCCCATGGGGCTCAGGGTCCAGGACAGGTTGAGAGAGAAGTTAGAAACAGGACAGAGTGGGGGCACCTGGGTGGCTCAGATGGTTAGGCGTCTGCCTTCGGCTCAGGTCATGGTCCCGGTGTCCTGGGATCGAGTCCCGCATCGGGCTCCCTGCTCCTTGGGAGCCTGCTTCTCCCTCTGCCTCTCTCTCTCTCTGTCTCTCATGAATAAATGAATAAAATCTTGAAAAAAAAAAAAAAGAAACAGGACAGAGTGAAGTCAGGGTGGTTTTCTGTGGGATATTTGAAGGATAGTACAGGTTGGGCAGGGATATGGGCTCTACCACCTGGATCTCGGGATTCATGTGGATTCCCTGTGTGGAAGCTGGGAAACACATCTCAGACACAGAGCCCAAGGATGTTCTCATGGACTTTTCCCCCAGAACAGGACCGAGAAGGACTAGGATGGGTTTTCCTCTCTGTCATGTCATCCCACCTGTTTCATGGGGAAATCTGAGAGCCCCTCCCATCAGGTGGGCTGCTTTTCCATCCAGGAGATGGAGCGATGCCTATAGAGGGGCAGTTTCTGATCACCTGTGTCCCCCCGCGTGGATGATGAGACAGGATAAACTGTAGCATGGAGGACAAGGACCCAGTTGGGCAGACGTCCTGGGAAGATGCTCATATCCATGTGGGGATGTGCCTCTTGAGGACAGTCAACAGGCACTCAGCATGCAGAGACCTTGGGCTGTGGAGGCGCTTCTCATGGATGATGGGAATTCCCAGCATGTCCTTTTGTGGAGAAAGAAAATGGGACATAGAAGAAGTTGATGATGGAATTTCCTCAGTGACTGGTGAGATCTCATCTACATGAAGACAACGTTATCGTGCTTGGCTGCATGGAGAATAAGAGAAATTAGAGATGAATGAGATGAACGAAAAAATGTGATATATTCATGAGTGCAGCTGAGAGTCTAGAGAGGAAATCCCTGATCTCGAAAGGAAGATCCACCCCCCCACTGCACCTGCTGCTAGGTCTCATCTAATTGTCTGTGATGTCCTGAGCGTCCCCTAGTGTCCTGAGCACCCTCTGGTGACCTGAACTCCCCTTGGTGACCTGATTGCCTCCTGACATACTGAGAGCCCCCTGGTGCCTGTAGCGCCCCTGCCACACAGCCTTTCCTGTGTTCCTGCAGGGAGATTTGTGTCTGGTCTCACACTGACTTCCCCTCACTGTTTCCTTCACACAGTAATACATGGCCGTGTCCTCGGCTCTCAGGCTGTTCATCTGCAGATACAGCGTGTTCTTGCCGTTGTCTCTGGAGATGGTGAATCGGCCCTTCACAGAGTCTGCGTAGCTTGTGCTACTTGCATCATAGCTAATCCATGCGACCCACTGCAGCCCCTTGCCTGGAGCCGGGCGGACCCAGCTCATGTAGTAGCTACTGAAGGTGAATCCAGAGGCTGCACAGGAGAGTCTCAGGGACCCCCCAGGTTTCACCAGGTCTCCCCCAGACTCCATCAGCTGCACCTCAGACTGGACACCTGCAGACATAAGACATCCTGGTCAGGAAACTGTCACACATCAAATGTTTCTCTCACTAACATCCACTTACATACTCCACATCTCTTGTTCACCATGAATTACATTTTAAAAGAGCAACAAGGAAAACCCAGTGAAGCCCAAACTCCATAGTGAGTTGTCTGTGTTCTGTCCTCATCACTGAATGGGAACACCTGGTAATCCTGCCAGTAAGTCTCCTCTTCCTGCTGCAGGGTCAGGATTGGGCCATTTTAATCAGTAGAGGGAGGGCCCTATTTGCAAATCCTCTGAGTATATAACAAATTTTCCAGGTAGTATCCTCAAGACGGCAGTGACCTAGAGCAGTTGTGAGGATCCTGGGGGAGTTTGGTCACCATGGTATCTTTCAGGAAAATGTGCTCTTTTACTTTGTGATTTTTCTAGGGCAATTACTTAGTACCCATTATCTTCCTTTTTTCACATATACACCTGGAACTTGTGATGTAGGTAACAATTTTACCACCATTTTACAGGTGGAGAGGTACACACTGCAGCACAGAGGGGTTGTGTGAGTGTGCAAGATCACACAGCAGGTGAGAGTGAGCCTGGTGTCTGGGTCTGTGCTCCTCACCATAGGACCTGGGTGCTCCCCTGAACCGCTTGCAGGACAGAGCTGGACATGAGATTTGCAGACTTCCTGACTTTCCAGAAGTCCCAATAAACTGATTTGTGGAGACCAGGTCTTTCTGTCACAGAAACTTGGAGACACTGAGAAGCCTTGACAGAGACTCACAGAGCTGATGGAGACGCTGTGGGTTTTCAACAACCCCAAGGGGCATTTACACCTGATCTCTGTGTACACATCAATGGAAAGCCTCAATAGAGATAAGAGTGGAATTGTTAGTCAAACAATTAATGTCAGAACACCTGAGATCAGAAAGCATCTGTTAGTTAAAGACAATTCTTTATTTCTGAAATGGAGATCATTGTACTTCCACACTCACATTTATTGCCATGATGATATCAATTATATTTATACTAGTGCTTGGCCCTTGGCAAGTTTGGTCATTGCCATTTTGATGGCTTATTTTAAAAATGGAGGACTCGAGGGAAGGGCAAAGATGGTGGAGGAGTAGGGGACCCTATTCCAACTGGTTCCTTGAATTGAGCTGGATATCTCCCAGACCACTCTGAACACCCATGAAATCAGCCTGAGATGTAAGAAGATATATCTGGATCTCTACAAACAGAATATCCCTGGTGGTTGGTTTTGAGATATGAGGCAGGGAGCTGTGATTACTTGGGCACATATCAGAACATAAATGGAAGGGGGAGGGAGCCTCTGGGATCCTGCACCAAAGGAGCTCGAAAGCTTCTCACCCTAGGGACCAGGCACAGACTGGCAGACCAATAGTGGTGGGGAAAGAACCTTAGGGTAGCCCCCCAGACTTAAATTTGGAGCTTCAGGGGCATGTGTGCAAACAGGGAGCAGCTTGCAGTTTTAGAGGCACAAAGGGCAGAGACGTGCCTGGACCTGGAAGTGAGGGCTGGGAGTGCTACTCTGGGGTGCACAACCCAGGACACTGCGGTTTTAGCAGCACAGACAGAAACAGAGACACTGTGGCCTGGAGAGCTCACTGAAGAACAGACTGCAATCTCTCTGTTCTGAAAAAGAGGCTTGGATATGGTCACTTCTTCTCTGACTCTCGGAAGAGACACAGAAAGCTGCCAGGGAAAGCCACCAGAGAACAAAATCCTTCGAAAACCGGTTGTCGCTGAGCCCATCCCTCCCCCACAGGGGGCAGGGAAACTCTGCCCTAACAGGGTTGCCTGAGTAACAGCGCAGCAGGCCTCTCCCCCAGAAGACAGGCTGGGAGAACAAGAGGCCGACAGGTGCATCTTGCTTGGGTTGTGGTCAATAATTTGGACTCTGTACCTTCCCTCAACCACCACTCAACAGAATGACTAAGAGGAAGGACCGCCCAAATAAAGACTTAGAGACTGACCTATGCCACAGAACAAATGCATATGGAAATAAGCAAGATGTCAGAAATAGACTTCAGGGTAACAGTCATGAAGACAATAGCTAGATTGGAGAAAATGATTAATGATTAGAGTCTTTAAGGGCAGAAATGAGAGCTGATCTGGAAGAATTTAAAAATGCTATCAGTGAGACTAATCTAATCTAGATCCTCTAACAACTAGGGTAAACGAGGCAGGAGACTGAATCAGTGATCTAGAAAACAAACTGATAGAAAAGAAGGAACAGGAGGAGGCCTGGAACAAACATCTTAAAATCCATGAAAACATAATTAGAGAAATAAATGATGCCATGAAACGTTCCAATGTCAAAATTATTGGGATTCCTGAGGGGGTGGAGAGAGAGAGAGGACTAGAAGATATATTTCAGCAAATTTTAGCTGAGGAATTCCCCAATCTGGGGAATGAAACAAGCATTTGTGTCCTAGAGGCAGAGAGGACCCCTCCCAAGATCAAGGAGAACAGACCACAGTCCCGGCATTAATAGTAAAACTCACAAATCTTAGAACCAAGGAAACCATCTTAAGGGCAGTTAGGGGGAAGAGATTTCTTAACTATAGTGGGAGGAATATCAGAATAGCATCAGACCTATCCATAGAGACCTGGAAAGCCAGAAAGGGCGGGCAAGACATATTCAGGGTACTAAATGAGAGGTACATGCAGACAAGAATATTTTAACCAGCAAGGCTGTCATTTAGAATGTATGGAGAGATACAGAGATTCCAGGACCAGCAGAAACTGAAAGAATATGTGACCACTAAAGTGGGCTTGCAAGAAATATTAAGGGGGGTTCTATAAAAGGAAAAAGACCCCAAGAATGATATAGAACAGAAATTAACAGAGACAATCTATAGAAACAAGGACTTCACAGGCAACATGATGACAATAAAATCATATCATTCAATAATCACTCTCAATGTGAATGGCATAAATATGCCCATGAAATGGCACAGGGTTGCAGACTGGATAAAAAGACAGGACCCATCCATATGCTGTCTACAAGAGACTCATTTTGAACCAAAAGTACATCTAGACTGAAAGTGAAGGGATGGAGATCCATCTTTCATGCCAACCGACCTCAAAAGAAAGCTGGGGTAGCAATTCTTATATCAGACAAATTAGATTTTAAGCTAAAGGCCGTAGTTAGAGACACAGAAGGACAGTATATCATTCTTAAAGGGTCTATCCATCAAGATCTAACAGTTGTAAATATCTATGCCCCCAACATGGGAACAGCCATCTACATAAGCCAGCTGTTAACCAAAATAAGAGTCATATCGATAACAATACATTAACTGTAGGAGACCTCCACACTCCACTCTCAGCAATAGATCATCTAAGCAGAAAATCAACAAAGAAACAAGAGCTTTGAAGGACACACTGGACCAGTTGGACCTCATAGATATATACAGAACATTCCATCCTAAAACAACAGAATACTCATTTTTCTCGAGTTCACATGGAGCTTTCTCCAGATTAGACCACATACTGGGTCAAAAATCAGGTTTCAACCGATACTAAAAGATTGACATTATTCCATACATATTCTCAGACCATATGCTTTGAAAGTGGAACTCAACCACAAGAAAAAATTCAGAAGAAATTCAAACACTTGGAAGCTAAAGACCACTCTGCTTAAGAATGTTTGCGTCAACCAGGAAATCAAAGAAGAACTTAAAAAATTCGTGGAAATCAAAGAGAACAAAAACACATCTGTCCAAAACCTATGAGGTACAGCAAAGGCAGGCCTAAGGAGGAAATACCTAGCCATCCAAGCCTCACTCAAAAAAATGGAAAAAGCCCAAATTCACCAACTAACTTTACACCTTAAAGAACTGGAGGAAAAACAACAAATGATGCTTACCCACATTAGAAAAGATATAATTAAGATTAGAGCAGAGATCAATGAATTAGAAACCAAAAAGAAAACAGTAGAGTAGATCACTGAAACTAGAAGCTGGTTCATTGAAAGAAATTTTTATTTATTTATTTTTTTAATTTTTATTTATTTATTTATTTATTTGTAGTTTTTAATTTTATTATGTTGTGTTAGTCACCATACAATACATCATTAGTTTTTGATGTAGTGATCCATGATCCATTGTTTTCGTATAACACCCGGTGCTCCATGCAGTATGTGCCCTCCTTAATACCCATCACTGGGCTAACCAATCCCCCCTCCCCCCTCCCCTCTAAAACCCTGTTTGTTTCTCAGGTCCATAGTCTCTCATGGTTCATCTCTCCCTCCAATTCCTCCCGCCCATTTTTCCCTTCCTTCTCCTAATGTCCTCCATGTTATTCCTTATGTTCCACAAATAAGTGAAACCATATGATAATTGACTTTCTCTGCTTGACTTATTTCACTGAGCATAATCTCCTCCAGTCCCACCCATGTGGATGTAAAAGTTGGGTATTCATCCTTTCTGATGGCTGAGTAATATTCCATTGTATATATGGACCACATCTTCTTTATCCATTCATCTGTTGAAGGGCATCTCGGTTCTTTCCACAGTTTGGCTATTGTGGACATTGCTGCTATGAACATTGGGGTGCATATGGCCCTTCTTTTCACTACATCTGTGTCTTTGGGGTAAATACCCAGTAGTGCAATTGCTGGGTCATAGGGTAGCTCTATTTTTAAATTTTTGAGGAACATCCACACTGTTTTCCAAAGTGGCTGTACCAACTTGCATTCCCACCAACAGTGTAAGAGGGTTCCCTTTTCTCCACAACCTGTCCAACATTTGTTGTTTCTTGCCTTGTAAATTTTTGCCATTCAAACTGGTGTAAGGTGGTATCTCAATGTGGTTTTGATTTGAATTTCCCTGATGGTGATGAACATTTTTTCATATGTCTGTTAGCCATTTCTATGTCTTCTTTTGAGAAGTGTCTGTCATGTCTTCTGCCCATTTTTTGACTTGATTATTTGTTTTTTGGGTGTTGAATTTGAGATGTTCTCTATTGATCTTGGAAATCTGCCGTTTGGCTGTAGTGTCATTTGCAAAAACCTTCTCCCATTCCGTGGGTTGTCTCTTTGTTTTGTTGACTGTTTCCTTAGCTGTGCAGAAGCTTTTTATCTTGAGGAAGTCCCAAAAGTTCATTTTCACTTTTGTTTCCCTTACCTTTGGGGAC